GAAACCGGACTGCAGGCGGGAGGGGGGGAGGGGGCCACTTCAGAATCCGACGAGAGACTTCGCCCAGGGCAACGCCAGGGCGCTCGTCGTCGCGAAGGGCCTTGCACATCTGGGCTTGCTTGACCGCCTCGGGGGCTTCAGGGCAGTGCGCGCGGGCGCGGGGGGCAACGCGGACGTGCACCTCGTCCATATAACCCAGAAACGAATTGGTAAGCCACCCACGAAGAAGCCGATGTGGAATCATATCCCAAGAGACATCGTGCGTCTGACGCAATTTATTCTGGAATTCGGCCCAAGCTGACGAGCTCTGAACAGTTCGATGCACCGACGCAACAGCGATATGCCTGATGGAGGCACACTGAGTATTACATCCTGTGTCCGTCAAGTTAAGCATCATGGGGCTGCCGAAGCTATCGCGCGGGCCCGCATCTAGGATTTGAAAGGCACGGTCTTCAAGCATGTATAATCTCGCAGTCGGACGATGCAATTGCAAGACGTAGCTCAGCACAGTAACAGCACGAGCGTTGTAGGCAACTATCGACTCAGCCAGGCCGGCCCCCGCGAGACGAATCTTGCAAACGCGGAAGAAGTACTTGTCACACTGTGTCGGGAAGGAGTGCAAATGAGTCTCGGGGCCCACCGATACACCAAGATAGCGACACCATCGAACTACAGAGAAGAGCTCGCAGCCACCCCCACTAGAGACCAGGAGCGCACGAATACGAGCCTCATCCCCATATGCACCCATAAGGATAATGCATTTCCCGAAGTGCAGCTTCAGCCCGATAGCGTCAGCGAGTGAACAGAGCTTGCGGAAGACTGGGATCACATCAGAAGTGGTTGGTCAACAGGAAGCGGAGGTCGTCGGCGTAGCCTGAAAGACCGAACCTGGGTGGTCCTGTTGCAACAAACCGCCGACAGGCAGGATCCAGGGCCAGGGCAAACAGAAGCATGGACGCGGGGCATCCTTGACGAACACCGCGGCCCACGGGAAGCCGGCCAGAGAGATTCCACAGAAATTGACCCGAGCGAGATTGCCCCGATAAAGGTTATCAAAATATTCAACCGCCCAATCTGGGATTCCCATACTCTGCAGAACAAATAGTGCCCATTCGATGATGAGGCTGGGAAACGCAGCTTTGAAGTCCGTGAAGAGCTGGGCAGCATCGTCACGGCCTTCTATGTGAGCCAGGAGACCATAACCTCGCAGGCAATATTATTGTCCTGTATCGAACGGCCAGGGACCCCACCAGTCTGAGACTCCAGGATAGTGTGTGTGTGTGCTGACCTGGGTAAGCGGACTAGCGATAGCAGCAGTAATCAACTTGCAATATGTACATCCCATAGACAGCGGACGGGTCGAAGACGTTTCCGAGCGGGAACTGCAGTGGCATCCGTAGGATGATCCCCCTTCGCCAAGAAGACCATCAACATCTCATGAAAGTCACCAGGGAGCGGGTCATCAGGATGGTAAACACGGTGCAGATAGAAATCATACAAAATCGCCTGGGCCCCAGAGAGTTTCCAGCAGCCGTGCGGTAGGCCGTTAATCCCAGGCATAGAGTTCCCGGGCTTCTTTACCAGAGACCCAGAAGCACCGGCATCAAGGATCCATTCCTGATTCGGACAGAGGACGTCAGCACGCTGGATGTACTGGGAGAGGGTTGGCCAAAGAGAACGGTTGGGGGACTTGGCCGCGAATGCAGGACCCCCATGACGAGACAGTTCAGCACCCGCATGCTGTGCCGACGTGCACGGCGCACCCGTGCTCTCAACCGCTATATTGCCGAGGCAGCTCGACTTGTTCAGACTGCGCCGACGTTCCCTGTTGCGCTGCGCACGTGCGCGACGGCGTGCCACCGCGTGCTCAGGGAGTTCGCTCGCATGCAAGAGAGCCTGTTCCTCATCATCAGGCAGCTGGTTGTTAAGAGATGCAATGTGCGAATGCAACCCCTGAGGATCAACGGGCGTGCCTGCGTCAGCATCGAAGAAGTTGGAGGGCAATGGGTATGCACGCACTGCGCGCACAACCATATAGAATGAGGAAGCACGAAACCCACGCAGGGCAAAAATACACCAATGCAAATACTCATGGACGGTCGTCGCCAGCCGAACACGAATAATCTTACGAAACTCAGCATGCGCCTCGTGCATAGCCACCTTGGTACGAGCGAGCTGCAACTGAATCGAGGGGCTCCGATCGATGTTTGCGATCAGTCCATCCAGACGCCTCATGTACTCTTCCGTAGTACGGGCCCACCCAGGAATCGGGGGGCGTGGGTGGGTGGGTGGGGGGGGGTGGGGGGGTGGGGGGGGGTCAGCCGACCGAGGCCTCGGGGCAATGGTAACCATAACAGGGGCATGGTCGGAAGGGTTCTTGAGGTTAGTGGGCATCCCAATAGTGGCACCAGTCACGACAAGGTCTATGAGCAGTGCAGGGGGAATGCCCACATACACACGATCCAGACGGGCCGCCGAAACAACCCTGGGACCCAGACATGCACGCCGAGTATCAAAGAGTTTGGTAAGGCTCCGTCCAGGAACCGAAAGCAGCATTCCATTCACGAGTAAAGGCCGTGTCCCCCCGAGTGAAAGTCCAGTCATCCATGTTGAACCTCCCTTCATCACTGAAGAGAGAATTGCAGTCGCAGAGCATGGCGCGGGCGGTGGCAGCAGCAGGGAGAAGAGCAGACTGGATGCAAGAGAGACAATGACGATAGTAACCAATCCCAGCATCAACATTCGGTAGGTGCACAACCACAACCACCAAGACACCAGCTTCACCCCAACCGAGAACGTACGACGCCGCATCAGGATAGACAATCGCCTGGGTAAAACCACTGAACAGACAAGCTAGCTTCTCATGCGCGCAGACGAGTATGCCATGGCTCTGCAGGTGATCTGGGTGAGGGTTGAAAAAGAACCTGTGGGGCGTGAACTCCTTGCGAAGCGAGACCAAGTCACCCTCATGACCATGGGGCTCCTGAATACAGACAATGTGGTTGCGACGTAGCAGGGCAAAGAAAATGCGCCAACGCGTGCAAGGCCTGGTTTTCATACTAGCCACACTTGCGAACGAGCCCCTGACATTCCACGTGGCGATCGATAACGGTTTCTTCGGTGGGAAGGGAATGTGCACTGTCTCCCCGCATTCCCTAGGAAAGCTGTTGGCCTCGGCGAAACGGCCCTCGCACAGGAGAGAGGCAACCCCTGTGTCAGCCACCCAGCCTCCATGGAAGCACTATACTCTGTAGAGACACTGCTAAAGGCCCAACTGCTGCCATACCTTTGCTACCATCTCCCCGTGCTTACCCGCGAGACCGATCTGCTCGAAGTGACGGGCGAAGGCGATCGCACGAGGCTGCTCAGAGACAGTCAAGGGCTTCTGAACGCTGAACAACTTGAGTGCATCACCTGTCGACCCATTAGCAATGAATGTGAATCCGTTGCCGACCGACGAGTCAACCTTCCACCCCTCGAGCTGCGGATCCGACTTCACTACCGACTCGACTTCTGTGCGAATCTTTCCCATCACTGCGAGCTGCTTGTTAGTCTCCCCGTCCCTGGGCGGCTTGAGACGCAAGGAGCGAGGGCCCTTGGGAGTGGTGTAGGAGTAGCCGTCAGGGTAGTTCTTACGAAAGGTCATGATAGTCTCAGACGCAGCGTCACCTGACGGAAAAGCAAGAATCACTTTCTTCGAGAAGTTCTGGGGTGTGACCTTCGTCTGAGCCAGGACTTCAGCACTAGCACAAGGCGTGCTAATCTCCTGGCACGACGTAAGGAGGACGGCCCTCGTGAACTCACCCGCATAGCCAACAACAATCGCTTTCGACAGCAGGTCCTGGTTACCGCTCCTGGAACGAGCACTGATACGGGCCTTTGTCGCCGAACTCTCTCTGCTGTCGTCGCTGCTGATGTCGAGGCTGCGGTTGCCGCTGACAGTCGCCGCCGCACGCATCGCTGCTAACGTTGCCTCAGTCTCCTCAACCTTTTGCTTCTGCAACGTCAGCCCCTCCTGCAAACTCTTCATAGTGACGGCAAACTCGGAAACCTGCTGTGTCACCTTCGTGAGCGACTCATTCATCAACCCCACCTGAGCAGTCAACCCCCTGATCGCAAGCTCTGTGGCGTTCGGCGCCATGGCACCGACGAGCAGAGCAGAGACTGAAAACGAACTGGTGATCCGATCTGGTCGGAGAGAGGGGGAAGCAGAGCAGGGCTGCTATGCCCAGGATTCGAGCAGTCCCCTCAGCAGCGACCAAGCTCGAAGCGCCATGGCCGCACGTTTCGAACTTGAGCCAAAATGGCTTGAGTCAAAATGGCCACGGATGATGAGGATGATGATGATGATGGTGATGATGATGATGTTGATGATGTTGATGATGATGGTGATAGTGGTGATGATGTTGGTGATGGTAATGATTTCGGAAAGGCGGGTGATGCTGGTGATGCTGCTGCTGCTGAGGATGATGATGGTGGCGATGGTGACGGCAACGATGATGATGCTGCTGCTGCTGCTGATGATGATGATGATGCTGATGCTGACGGAGAAGTCAGGTGGGGGAGGAGGAGGAACACAACCTACAAAGCGCAACACCGCATGTTGTCCAAAACAAATAGCGGCCGCTGTTGGGCAAACGGCTGTATGTCTCAAATCAAATGGACAGCGTCCGCAGCGGAACCGACAGCGAACCCAATTTAAACTGGGCAGGAACTTCTGTCTGTCTGCGTCCCCACTCTTTCCGTCCCCATCACAGTGCCGAGGGTTCGCTAGGGATTTGCTTCCCCAACAGAGGACCCAGCCCTTTCTGAAACCCACCCAGGAACCTCCGAGAACCTTCCCGAAACCCGCGGGAAGGACTTTCGGAGGGTTTCGGAAAGGCTTTGGTTGCTTCAAAAGGGAGGCCAATCCCTAGCGAACCCTGAAATTTCTAGGAGTCCCCTCTTCGATCCTGCAGATTCTTGGGGCGCCCGAGTTGGCTCCGCGCTCCAGAGGGCGCCTGTGCCCGGACCTCTCGAGGCAGTCCTCGCTGCAGAACGTCTCGCCGCACCCGCACTTCATAGGCTCGCGCTCCTCGGCCCCGCAGTCCTGGGCGACGCAGCCATCGTGCTGCGGCAGGCTCGTGTCGCGATGAGCGAGGCGGGCAAGTGTCGTGGCGCAGCGGGAGGATCGAGGCTCGAGGTTGGGGGGTTTCTGGTCAAACTCGTAGGTTTCCCAAGATTCCCGCCTCGGGATGGGTTCCAGCAGCTGCCCCTCGGCGGTCGTGGGGTGCCAGGATCGTCCCGAATGGCCACCAGAGGCCCGAGTGAGGGCTCTAAAACTTGTGGGTTCGGGTCGTGCCGACGCTTGGGCGCGAATTGATGGGGGGTGATACATCGGGGGGGGGGGGGGGCGAGGGCTGCAGAAACAGGGGTGGCCTCTAGGGCCCGAAAAGGGCACCTTTCTTCCCACCCGACGTGTCGCCCCCTGTAATTCGCACCCAAAGCGCTGGTTGGTTTCTGATTCCGCGTAGATCACTCGACCTTCAACGATCGGCGGCTTTTCGATTGCCAACTCGCTTCGTGCTGGGGGGTCAGGGCGAGAGAGTAGGAGCAATGGGGGGGGGACAGGGAGGGGAACGGCGAGGGCGACGAGGCGAACAAGGGGGCGGGGGGGTCGTCGGCAGTTCTCGAGGCTCGGAAGGAAAATCAAAACAACGTCGCAGGCGCTGATGTCTCATACATTGCAGAACGAGCCCACCGCAGGCGCAAATTTTTCGTCAACTCAATGTGGGTGGGTCGGGTCGTGCGTGGGTCGTGGGGCTGATCACGGTTGGGTCGCGGGGTGGGTCGCGGGTGGGCCGAGAGCCGCGGGTGGGACGACGACAGCAAACAACGAACAAACAACGGCAACAACAACAACACAAGCAACAACAACACCAACAACAACAACAGCAACATCAAAACCACCAACAACAAAAGCATACCACAACACAGCACAGCACAGCACAGTACAACACAACACAAACCAACACACAACAACACAACGACAACACCATCGCCACCAACAACAACAGCAACAACCACAACAACAACAGCGACAACAGCACCAGCAGCAGCACCACCACCAACAACAACGACACTCAGTATAAGACAAGTTGTTCTTATTTGATCGCGTGCCACGCAACACGTATATCCCAAACCCTCGATACCCGCCCTCTTTGGCTTCGACAGTGACCCCTCGGTGGCATATCTTCCTTACCTGCCGCGCACATTTAGCGCAACCTTTGAAACAAGGGAAGGGAGGACGGACGGGGGAAGAGAAGGATGGACCACGCGACAGGGCCTCTCGGAACAAATCGCGAGGAAGCATCGAGCGGGAGCCCTTTTCATCGCGGCTGCGTCCCCACTAATTTGACAGAGTTGCAAGGATGTCCACAGCGAGAGCGCTATTCGGGGCCTCTGTGGGCGCGTTCGGGGCCTCTTTGGGCTGGGTTTGGGGCCTCAGTGGGCAGCGTGGTGGGGCCTCAATGAGCGCGTTCGGGGCCTCTGTGGGCTGCGTCTGGGGCCTCTGTGGGCAGCGTGGTGAGGCCTCTGTGGGCGCATTCGGGGCCTCTGTGGGCTGCGTCTGGGGCCTCAGTGGGCAGCGTGGTGAGGCCTCTGTGGGCGCGTTCGGGGCCTCTGTGGGCTGCGTCTGGGGCCTCAGTGGGCAGCGTGGTGGGGCCTCTGTGGGCGCGTTCGGGGCCTCTGTGGGCTGCGTCTGGGGCCTCAGTGGGCAGCGTGGTAGGGCCTCTGTGGGCGCGTTCGGGGCCTCTGTGGGCTGCGCCGAGGGCCTCAGTGGGCAGCGTGGTGGGGCCTCTGTGGGCAGTGTGGTAGGGTCTCAGTGGGCGCGTTCGGGGCCTCTGTGGGCTGCGTCAGGGGCCTCAGTGGGCAGCGGGGTGGGGCCTCTGTGGGCGCGTTCGGGGCCTCTGTGGGCTGGGTTTGGGGCCTCAGTGGGCAGCGTGGTGGGGCCTCTGTGTGCGCGTTCGGGGCCTCTGTGGGCTGCGCCGAGGGCCTCAGTGGGCAGCGTGGCGGGGCCTCTGTGGGCGCGTTCGGGGCCTCAGTGGGGTGGTTTTGGGGCCTGAGTTGGTAATTTGGCGTGACCTCTGTGTGCGCGTTCGGGGCCTCTGTGGGCTGCGTCAGGGGCCTCTGTGGGCAGCGTGGCGGGGCCTCGCTGGGCGCGTCTGAGGCGGGAGCCGTTGTTGTTGTAGCCGGGTGCCCAGGGGCACGGTTTGGCCCGGATGCCCTTCCCTGTCAAATAAACAGGGTGCATGCGTCGAGGGGCGCATTTTGACGGAGAAAAAACGATGCGCACCGGTGGGGGGACCAACAGAAATCATTCTTCGGGAATGATCATTCTAAATCAGCAGACGTGCGAGGGAGAAGGAATCGGAAGGAGGGGGGAGGCGGCCCGGGAGGAGGGATGAGCAGGAAGGTAAGCGTGCGAACGGTCGAAGAAGTCCTAGGCGAAAGCGCCATTCCACAAGGAAGTCTCGGGCGGCAGCCCACGACGGGCGGGCGATCCTCTGACGGGCGGGTCGGGCGGGCGGGACATTCAAGCGGGATGCCTGAGTAGGGCGAGAGCGCGATTCCTAAGTAAAGTGTGACGGCGTCCTTGGCGCGGGCGTGGTGCTTCAGCATAGATATCGCGATGTTTAATTACACTCCGACAAAGTCACAGGCGAGAGCGCAATTCCTGCAAATGGGATGTCTGGCGGGAGCGGGGGTCTAGACTAAAGCGCAAGGAATCTTAAGCGGGAGCGCCGTTCTTGAGAAAATTGTGAGGAAGCCTCAGACGGGAGGGGGGGTCCTGACTAAATGCAAGGATGTCACAGGCGGGAGCGCCGATCCTGAGTAAATTGGGAGGAAGTCTCAGGCGGGAGGGGGGGTCCTGAGTAAGATTGGATCTCAGGCGGGAGCCGTTGTTGTTGTAGTCCGGCGGAGCAATAACGCAGTTTGCCCCAGGCTAAATTGTGAGGAAGTCTCAAGCGGGAGCGCCGCTCCTGAGTAAATTGGGGAGTCTCAGACGGCAGGGGGGGTCCTGAATAAATTTTGGGGAAGTCTCAGGCGGGAGCCGTTGTTGTTGTAGTCCGGGGGGCCAGGGGTACAGTTTGACTCAGGAAGACGTTCCCTATCAAAAAACAGGGTGCGAGCGTCTAGGGGCACACTTTGAATGAGAAAAAGCGATATGCACCAGTGAGGGGGACCAAACGTAATTATTCTTCACAAGTGAGACTTGAAGGCAAAACAAACTGTACCCGGACCGGGTCCTCCAACGCGCTCTTTTGCTCCACGTGGTGAGAGATCTCACTGGCCTACCCGGACACCCCCTCGCGTTGCGTTGCGCTGGGGGGGGCGTCAGCGAGTGGTTTCGCCAACAACAGCAACAGCAGCAACAGCAGCAACAACAATAGCAACAACAACCAACAACATCAACAATCCTTTTAAGACTGTTTGCTCTTATCTGCTCGCGTGCCATACAACACGTACATCACAAGACCTCGATACCCGCCCCCTTCGTCTTCGATCGTACCCACTTTAGAGGAATACCTTTCTTAGCTGCAACGTGTATTTCGGTCAGCCTCTAAGGCAGGGGAACAGAGGACAGATGGAAGGAAGGGACAAGGGGCAGGCGCGGTTTGCTGAAGCATGCGTCCTGCATGAATCGCGGGGGAGTCTCGAGCGACAGTGCGATTCGTAAATAAATCGTGAGGATAAGCGAGAGTGTGATTCTTGAGTGTCGAGGGCGCGGCGTCTGAATAACTTGTGCGGAAGTCAAAAAACTCAACAGCAACAGCAACAACAACAACAACAGCAACAATTACAATGGCAACGGCAACAACAACAGCAAGAACAACACCAACAACGACAGCAACAGTCAGCACTGCGGAATCCCACTTTTAACAACGGACCGCATCGACTGTATAGTCTGCTCGGCTCCCCCTCCCATGGTCAAAGGTGCTGCAGCACTCGCTCCCGTCCCAAGGCCCCTCTTGTGCACTGTGGCTCTACCTCGCCATCACTCGGACGTCCATGTCCCGTGCACTCTTTCCGTAAACAAAAAGGTACCGATGCCGCTACTCCCCGGACCTCTCCCGAGGTGCGTTCTGACCAAACTTTCGAGGCGAATCCAGCGGTGGCGACGAGGGCCTCCCAGGAGGCCGGACAAGGGGAGAACGGGAGAAGGGTAGCGGTATGGGTTCCTTTCCCGCCGCTGACTCGCCGATTTCGTGCGTGATTTGTGTTTTGCTCGATGCTGCAGGATGCTCCCCGATACTCCCCGCCGAGAGGACAGAAAAGGCACGCGCCCGAGCGATACGCCAGGCTACGAGAGCACGTTCTCTGCCTCACCGCGCGAGGCGCGCCTCCCCCCCGGAGAGAGAACACCCCATAGGGGTCCGCAAAAGTCAGGCGAACGGAACTCTGTCAGGAAGGAAACATACTCCTCCTCCTCCTCCTCCTCCTCCTCCTCCTCCTCCTCATGCCCCTCCTCCTCCTCCTCCTCCCTCCTCCTCCTCCTCCCTCCTCCTCCTCTCCTCCCCTCCCTCCTCCTCCTCCTCCTCCTCCTCTCTCCTCCTCCTCCTCCTCCCCTCTCCTCCTCCTCCTACTCCGCCTCCTCCTCCTCCTTCTCCTCCTCCTCCTCCTCCTCCTCCTCCTCCTCCTTCTCTTCCCGGCGAGGTCAGGAACCCCATGATGGGGGTCCGCAGGAGTCTGGCGCAAGGAGCTACAGGGAAGCTGGAAAAAGCGGAGGCTGGAAAATCAGTGAACGTGGAAGTGGCCACGGCTGGAAAAACTGGCAGTGGGTGCGGCGAGCCCGGATCAGTAGGGATGCGGTCGCCAGGGCTGGAAACAATAGAGGGAAACTGGCCAGGGCTGGCAAGAGTGGAAGGGCTGGCCCCAGTCACTTTTTCCAGCTTCCATGTGCAGTCGGACCTGGGTCAGAAGAGCACGTCTCAAGAACATGAGACCCTCCGTCGGCCAAAGCACGCAGAACATCCAAGGGTGCCCTCCCAAGGCGACTCTCCGCAGGCTCAGCAAGTCAGGCGGGAACCCCGTGAGGAAAGAAACATCGCCGCCCCTCCTTCGAGCTACAGTCGGACCTATGCCAAAGACGAGGATCAAATCGGGTGACGAGAATCTCTGAGATCTGGCGGCTATAGAGGATGTCTCGGGCGCCGCGGCCTTCTCAAAACGTTCTGGAACGGATTTGTCCTCGTCCTAGCCCCGCCCGACACCGCTACAGTCGGACCTTGGCCAGAAGAACATGCCTCAAGAACATCGCGCTCAGCGATCGAGGGGACCCCGAAGAGCCCGCACCACGTCACTCCTGCGAAGGGTCGCTCTTACGGGTAGTCGATGGGATCTGGGAATTCAGAAATGCTTACTAAAACACGGCTAAGATCGGGATAAATCGCTCCAGAGCGTTCCGGAGCGCTCTCAGAGCGTTCCAGAACGCTCTGGAGCGGCCGCGGCGCTCGATACATCCTCCAAACCCGCCGATTCTCAGAGATTTTGAGTTATCCCGATCCGATTTTGTCCCGATCTTCGCGTCGTTTTACTTACTGTCGACGACCGGCGTTTGAGTGGACCTGGGCCAGAAGAGCATCCCCCAAGAACACGAGGCCCTCCGCTGGCCAGAGCAGACAGAGCATCCAGGGGCACCCCTGGCCATCGCTCGGACGTCCCTTTCCTGTGTTTTTGTTCGGTTTCGTGCGTGTTTTTTCGCCAAACGATCAAGGATGCTCCTCGAGGGTCCTCGCCGAGGAAAAAATACACACGTCCGAGCGATGCCAGGACCCTCCCCATGGTGCGCAAGAACATCCAACAAGCACGAAGAACACTAGGGTACCCTCCCCGAACCGACCTCGATCCTATACCTCGGTCCGACTGCAAACGGAGTGTGATAAGATGGGGTCATACATTCAAAAGGAATGCCCAACCGCCAACCTCGAGCTACACGGACTGTGATACTATGGGGTCATCACATCAAGAAGAGCAGGGGGATTGGCGATCGGCATGAATCGGATCGGCGGAAATTGGCAGCCAACTCGGGAGGAGTCCAATCGGCGGAAATCGGCAGGCTGGTACGCCTCAGATAAGAAATCATAATCCAAATCGGAATCCGAAGTCGAATCGAATCGGAATCGGAAACCATCGGAATCGAATCGAATCGAGTCGAAATGAGCCCTGGACAAAACTGCCCAACGACAACCCCGCTTTGAAAAGGAGGCGCCCTCCGTCGGCGCAACTGTTGCAGTGCTTCAGACCCCTGGGAACAAAAAGCTCAGAGAAGACGTCACTAGCGGGAGCCTCATTCCCCAGACAGTGCTTGCACCTGGGGTTTATCCCTTGTCTGCTCAGGAAGTTGAGCCCCGTTGGCCGTTCGGCAGGCTCGCCGCCGCCCGTTGCCGCGCTGCCTGGCGTTGCTCGGCATGGCTCGGCATTGCTCGGCATCGTCTCGTTTTGCATTGCCTTACGTTGCGTTGCATTGCTTTGCAGTGCATGCTGCGCATCGCAATACATGGCTTCGTACTGCGATGCCCAGCGTCATGTGGCTCTTTGCATCGCGCCGCATTGCTTGACATTGCTCTGCGCTGCTCTGCACTGCATTGCTCTGTGTTGCAATGCGTTGCAATGCATTGCTTTGCATCGCATGCACTGCTTTGCACCACATAGACTGCACCACGTGGATTGCACCACCTAGACTGTACCATGTTGATGGCGCCTCGGGAGCGCAGTGAGCGGCCCTTGGACTGCCCCGGGACTTCTCTAGCTTGCGCCGCACAGGTTGGAAGACAGCAGCGCTTGGGGCCCACGCGCGAACGTGTCGGAGAGGCACCGCCCTTCCTCCGTGCCGGTGTCAACACCTTTGGATCCGTGGTGGCATGCTGACGAGGCCTCGGCCGAGAGCCCTCCGCTGAGCCGTGAGCGCCCTGCAGCCGCGTGGGCAGTGTCATCAAGAGATGCGTGCGCCCGGCGTCGGGGCGAGAGTCCCGTCTGGCAGACGACTCGCCCTCTATCCGTGCCTGTGTCAACCTCTTTGCATCGGTGGTAGCACGCGGACGAGGCCTCAGCGGAGAGCCCTTCCCTGAGCCATGAGCGCCCTGCAGCCGCGTGGGCAGTGTGATCGAGAGACGCAGGCGCCCGGCGTCGGGGCGAGACGCCCCGTCTGGCAGACGACTCGCCCTCCGTCCGTGCAGCCGCTGCTCGTCAAGAGCGGGTGCGCGCGGCGACGGGGCGAGGAGGTCACGCTTTGGAAAGCCGCCCGCCCTCAATTGGTGCGAACTCTCCTCCTCCTCGTCCTCCTCCTCCTCCTCCTCCTCCTCCTCTTCCTCCTCCCCCTCCTCCTCCTCCTCCTCCTCCTCCTCCTCCTCCTCCTCCCAGGCTGATTTTTGGATGTCTCGGCTGAACATGTTTCGAACGAGTGTGCGCGACGCCGTGGCGAGAACCCCATCCTGAAGGCTACCCGCCCTCCATCCGTGCAACTTCTGGCTCGTTCCCAGTGGCTGTGCGCGACGCCGACGCGAGAGCCCCTTTCAGAAAACTAGCCGCCCTCCATCCATGCAGCTGGTGGGTTATCCAAGCAACAGGGCAACCATCAAGGTCGTAAGCGGCGGGGAGGTCTCGGGCGAGACGCCAGGCTCGCTCCACCGAGACGTCTGGCGGTGCGACGAAGAAGTGCTATCCATATGGCTGGTTGCAGAAACGCCGAACAACTTCGTGCCATCTCTTGGAGGCGCATATGTTGCTTCCGCGAACTTTCCGCCACACTTCTGCCTTCCTCCCGCTGCTTTCCGCCGAGGAAGGGATACCAAGTCCGGTTTGCGAAGTCGATGCCTTTTTCTGGAACGCCCAATTACAAGAAAGAGGGAATAGCGACGAAGACGAAGACCCCTGGACCTGTCCTGGGCCACGTTGCGGCCACACCTCCGAGGCGAGCCCAACCACGGCCGCGAGGACGACATCGTAAGAACCGAAGAAGGCCGAGAGCGCTAGCAGACCTCATCGATCTCCGACTGGGCTCGCGACGACGTCCGACGTCCTCGGGGATCCTGGCGTCTCAATGTTTCCGAGCGGGGCGATCTCGCCCAGTTTCGGGCCCTGGGACCCTCGCATGCTGACTCGGGCAGAACATTTGTGCAGAGGGATGGGGTCCAGGGCCCTGGTCGTGATTCTCACGATGGTGTACTTTTGTCGCTGTGCGTCGTCCGTCCTGCCGAGGAGGCCACCAGAGGTCGAGCAGGGACCGACAGTCCCGGCATTTCTATTGGCCTACCACGACATGTTCGTATAGAACCCGAACATGTTCTAAGAACACATGTAATGTCCTTAGAACATAAGCCCCATGTGCTTAAACAAGACAGCCCCGGCCAGAACTGTTCTGAGAACATGTCGTGCAGATCACAAAAGGTTCTTACAATATTGTTTGGTAGGCCTGTAGGCACGCCAGGACGCTTCGCCACTGCTTGAAGAGGCCTCCCGAGGCCACCGCAGCGGCCAAAGGCGCACGAGCGCCCCTCGCATCCATCCGCGGCCCTCGCACCACGGCCCCGCCCCCGAAGGCCTCCGACCCTGAGGGCCTCTGGGAACGCTGGGGTGGCACCAGCTCCGGGTGTGGGGGGGCTGGAGCATAGAGCTGGAATCGGCGATGCACCACCGACCGATCGGAGAGCTGCCCCCGATCGCGCCTATCCCCAGACGCCCAGCTGCTCCAGCTTTAGGGGGCAAACAAACCTACCTCGCTTGTGACCACCCTCGCTTCCAAGAGATACCAAGCGATGCCAAACTACGGCCTGTACTGGTCAGGCCGCTTGACGAGGAGGCGCGTGGTATGACTTGGTTTTGCCTGGAAGCGAAGGCGGGGTAGGTAATTCACGCTCTGAAGCTTGTTCGATGCGTGGGCCCCGGAAAACTTGACCACTTCCCTGGGGCCGGTTTCTCGCCCCGAGTCGTGTTTAGCGCCTATCCCCAGACGTCCAGCTGCTCCAGCTTGTTCGATGCGTGCGTGGGCCCCAGAGGGCTTGACCACGTCCCCAGGGCCGGTTTTTCGCCCCGAGCCGCCGCTTTCTTGACGGCCCCAGGGGCCCGGCGAGGGCCCTGGGAGGCCGCACGCCGCCCAACGCCGCCAGCTCCAGCCTTTCGTTGGAGCGTCCGCTCTCCGGGTCCGCACCTCCCTGGGCGAGATAGGCCATCGGGCCCCCTACCTCTCGGCGGTGCAGGGGCGATTGGGGTAGCCCAGGGGGGGAGGAGGGGGAGGAGGAGGAGGAGGAGGAGGAGGAGGAGGAGGAGGAGGAAGAGGAGGAGGAGTAGGAGGAGATGGTTGCCCCCGGTGCGGCACTCCCCTCGCTGACCCCCGTGCCCATGTGCACTTCGGGCCGTCACTCGGGCCTCCGCCGGCCGTGTCCGCGACGAGGCGGGCGCCTCCCCGGAGCGCCCTCGACGAGGGCGCAGCTGCTGGAGAGCGCCCCGAAGCTGGAGACGTCGTGCCCGGAAGCCTCCGAGGGCCTCCGAGGGCCTCCGAGGGCCTCCGAGGGCCCCCGAGGGCCTCCGAGGACCCCCGAGGGCCTACGAGGGCCTCCGAGGACCCCCGAGGGCCTACGAGGGCCTCCGAGGGCCATCCGGTGGCCCTGCGGAGGTCCCTCGACCGGCCTTTCGCGCGGCATGCGGTCGGACGCTGCGCGGCCGCCGCCGGGCGCTCCCGCCGGGTGTCCTCGGCCCCCGGCAGCGGCCGCCAAGGCAGCCGCCAGGCGGCTGGCTTGGCCCCAGCCTGTCCAAATCCACCGGCGAGGCCGCCGGCTCAACGTCGTCGTCGCCGCCGTCATCGCCGTCGTCGTCGTCGTCATCGTCGTCGTCGTCGCCGTCGCCGCCGTCGCCGCCGTCGCCGCCGTCGTCGTCGTCGTCGTCGTCGTCGCCGCCGTCGTCGTCATCGTCGCCAGTCGTCGTCGTCGTCGTCGTCGTCGTCGTCGTCGTCGTCGTCGTCGTCGTCGTCGTCGTCGTCGTCGTCGTCGCCAGTCGCCGCCGCTGCTGCCGCCGCAGTCGCCGCCGACCTCGTCGTCGCTGTCGCCGTCGCCGCCGCCGTCGCGGGTCGAGGTTCCAAGATGGAGGCTCGACGTATTTGGATCAGTGGGCTCCTGGGAGCGCCACCAAGGCCGTGGCGGGACCAGCCTCGGAATTCTGGCCACTGCACGCCCCAGAAAAAGTCGTCGTCGTCGTCGTGGTCTGGATCTTCTTCTGCTCCTCTAAGACGAATAGGAAACTGCATGGGAAATGCACACGGAACTCCGAGAAAATATGTCAGCATCATCGTGCCGCTCTCTATTCCTACTCAGAACTCTGCCGTGCTAAATGGCACATGAGGAACATCGAGTACAATCGCACCATCACTGATTCGTGCAGTCCGTATTGTGCACTGTCCGAGGAGGGCGTTCGAGACGCCTCCTCCCCTGTGCAGGAACACCGGCTTGAGTGCATGCCGTTGTCAGCTCTTCGAACCTTCGTCGTCGCCGTCCCGATCTTCCTCTGCTCCACCTCCCGTCCGCCCTTCGGGTACAGGGACCCAGCCCTCGTCGCCCAGGGTGCTGGCCATTGATGCGGTTTCCCACGGGAAGGTCCCGCCCAGGGGGTTCCATCTCCTGGGCTGTCCTGCCAACCCTCTCTGAGGTGGCGGCGCGCATCAGGGGGTGGAGGGAGGGGGGGAGGGCTCCTTAGGAGGCTGCTTCCGAGAAGGCGCCGCTACACCCAGAGACAAGGCCCGCGCCTTTTGAGAGGCAGGGGCGCTTTTAAGAAGCGCCCCCCCCTTCCCCCAACCCACTTTGCGCGTGGATGGCCGACTGTGCGGGGTGAACGGGCCAGTGTCGTCACGGCGAGGGCATTCGATAAAGATCGTTCGCAAGGTCTGAAAGCCGGTGGAACGCCAATGGTTCGGTCGGGCGTGCCCCCCCACAGGCGGATTTTGGATGAAAAGCCAAAAAATAACCCCATGCCCCCGATCATAAACCCTAAGGGATAATAAAGTTCGGGGTTTTCGGGGGGATAATAAAAGTTGCCCGCCAGAGACAGCATAAAGATATATCAAGAGGAAAAAGCCAAAGATATCGTGAGGATCCTTGGTCTTTGGTCCTCTATGAGACATCCTCAACAATGATTTGTCTCGGTTGAGACATCCTCAACGACTTGCTTGTTTCGCTTGAGACATCCTCCTCATCAAAAAGAGAAGAAGAGGAAGAAGAGGTAGAGGAGAAAAGGGAGGAAGAGGATGAGAAGGAGGAGAAAGAGCAAGAGGAGGAGAGAATAACGAGGAAGCAAACATCCAAATTTCAAAACTTAGTATATTTAATGTGTAAACGCTTAATGAAAATAACAAGTTTCATCTGCTCTTGTAGGGGTAGCTCATGCGCTTAGTTTTCCCAGGATAATCAACCCCAACGATAAACAAGTTCAGGGGGCCAGGGGGACAAAAAAAAAAAAAAACATAGAAAGAGAAATATACAGAAAGAGAAAAAAGGGAAGAGGAGAAGGATGATAAGGAGGAAGTGCAGGAGATGCAGAGCAGGAGGTAGAAGCAAAACTCCAAAGTTGAAAACTTATTAGATTTAATTTGTAAGCGCTTAATGAAAATTAGCATTTTCATCTGCTGGTGTAGGGTAGCTCATGTGCTTAGTTTTCCCCGGATAATCAACCCCAGTGATAAACAAGTTCAGGGCGCCAGAGGGAGGAGGAGAAAGAAAGACAGAGAGAGAGAGAGAGAGACAGAGAGAGAGAGAGAGAGAAACAGAAAGCAACACAAAGAAAAAGAGAGAAAGAGCACACGTGTTCGCTTCGCTTGATGTTGTTATCCCAACATAAGAAGGAAGTAGCCTCGATGGCGAACTTTCCCAATCATAATGAAGTTCGGCCTCCGCGCTCCCGCGCCCCCGACCAAACACTCATGGTCGACGATAAAAAGCTCTAACGGCTTAAAGGGGGGGGGTACATTATTATCGTGGGCGTGGGGTTACGCTACCGAGGAACCCACATACTTATATTATGGCTGTAGTGATGATAGCTGAAGTGAAGCATGTGGGAAGGATGTTGGTGGCCATTTCCCGCGCACCCCCTTTATGGTGTCGAGAAAATGCCACGCCAGTTGCGCCTTGGACGACCGGCTCGGAAAGAGGCCGCGCTCAGAGACCATCACCTGCGGACCCCTTAAAATTACGAGAATATGCCACGCCTGCTCCGCTCTGGACGTCCGGTTCGGATAGCGGCCGCGCTCAGAAACCACGACATGCAACCCCCCTGTGGCGTCGATAAAGTGCCACGCCTGTTTCCGGGACGACCTGCTCGGATAGCGGCCGCGCTCAGAGACCACGCCCCGCGCCCCCCCTATGGCGTCGACAGTATGTCACGCCTGCTATGCCCTGGACGACCGGCTCGGATAGCGGCCGCGCTCAGAGACCACCCCCTGCGCACCCCGTATGGCGTCGAAAACGTGTCATGCCTGCTATGCCATGGACGACCGGCACGGATAACGGCCGCAGTCGGACACCACCCCGTGCGCACCTCGTATGGCGTCGAGAATATGCAATGCCTGGTGTGCCTTGGACGACCGGCTCGGATTGAGGCCGCGCTGAGAGAACCCCCCCTGCGCACCCCGTATGGCGTCGAGAATATGCCATGCCTGCTATGCCCTGGACGACCGTCACGGATAGCGGCCGCGCACGGACTCCGCCCCGTGCGCACCCCCTATGGTGTCGAACATATGCAATGCTTCCTGTGTCTTGGACGGCCGTCACGGATAGCGGCCGCGCGGCCGCGCTTGGACACAGCCCCACGCGCACACCCTACGTTGTCGAGGACATGCCATGCATGCTGTGCCCTGGACGACCGTCACGGATAGCGGCCGCGGTGAGAGGAGAGGAGGAGGAGAGGAGGAGGAGGAGGAGGAGGAGGAGGAGGAGGGCAAATCGGAAGAAACGTCTCTCGGAAACCCGCTCGAAGAAGGGCTCAACAAATACCTCACCAAACACTGCCTCCCGGCATCGTCGGCGCCTCGTTGACGCAGCAACTCGATGTACCTGGGGAAGAGCATCTCGGGCCACCAGTTTAGAAACTGTCGCTGGTAGCATTAAATGCGTCGTGCACCAAGTTATTCCCATGCCTCTCAACATGCGCGCGTAAACCATCTAAACTCACTTCGGCGCCCATCTCTAGCATTGAGTTCTTGAGCTGCTCGCACGGAGGCGGCAGTGCGGACATGGCACATTTGGGCGCCATGACGGGCGCCGCACCTTTGACGAGCAATCACCGGCGCGAGCACGCCGGCCTGCAAACCCGAGAGGACTGAGCCGGCATGAGCCACACCCCGATAAGAACTACCCCGACACGCGAAGCCGTTTAGTAAACGCGCCCAAAGAAGGAATCAAACAGGGCAAGCCTGTGTAGTAGACGCCCAGGGCCGTCTAGTAAACGCCAAGTGTCCGGTCCGGGCGATTTTTTCCTCATGACTGGTGCCACTGGCCGTGGTGGAGCGGTACGAAGACGACGGCATCAGGTTTTTTTTGTTTGTTAATACCCCCCGCGGCGGCGCCTCGGCGGGCATTGTCATTTCCCAACCATCCTGTGGTGCTGGGACCTCGTTTTGACGAGACAGCGCCCCGCGCCCCTCCTTCCCGCTTCCTCCTCCCGCCCTCCCTCCCTCTTCCAATACCTGCCCCTGCCCTCAGCACCAGGCAAAGATTTCTGCATACCGCTCACACGTTTCGTGGCCCAGCAGGGAACTCCACCGAAGGCCTCATTGACTGCGTTCGCATGCGCCCACCGCACCCACTGCGGCACACCTATCACACGTTCCGTGGCCCCATAGGGAGCTCCACCGAAGGCCCCAATGTCTGCGTTCGCATGAGCCCACCGCACTCATGTCGGCACACCTCTCGCACGTTTCGTGGCCCCTCAGGGAGCTCCACCGGAGGCCCAATGGCTGCGTTCGTATGCGCCCACCGCCACCATTTCGGCACACCCCTCACACGTTTCGTGGTCCCGTAGGGAACTCCCCCCAATGGCAGCGTTCGCACGCGCCCACCACACCCATGTCGGCACACCGAGTACACCGCTTCGTGGCCCCATAGGACCTCCAGCCGAATGCCTCAGTGGCTGCGTCCGCATGCGCCCACCGCGCCCATTTCGGCACACACGTCTCACACATTTCGTGGCTACATATAATGAGCTCCGCCGAAAGCCCCTATGGTTGCGTTCGCATGCACCCACCGCACCAATTTCGGCACACCCCTCCCACCCTCCGTGGCCCCACAGGGAGCTAAAGCCGAAGGCCCCCGTGGTTGCGTTCGCACGCGCCCACCGCACCAGTGTTCGGCACAACCCTCACACGTTTCTTAGCCCCCAGGGGCGCTCCACAGGAGGCCCCACTGCGTTCGCATGCGCCCACCTTGCCGATTTCGGCACACACCTCACAGGCATCGTGGCCTCATAGGGAGCTCAAGGCGAAAGCCCCAATGGCTGCGTTCGCACACGCCCACCGAACCAATTTTCGGCATACCCCTAACACATTTCGTGGCATGGTATGGAGCTCCACACAAAGCCCCAATGGCTGCGTTCGCATGCGCCCACTGCGCCCACTTCGGCACAGAGCTGCACAGCAAGCCCCCGGGGCTGTGTTCGCACGCGCCCGCCGCACCGATTTCGGCACACGTCTCACGCGTTCGTGGCCCCCCAGGGAGCTCCACCGAAGGCCCAGATGGCTGCGTTCGCATGCGCTCGTCGCACCAGTTTCGGCATACACACACACACACACCTCAAACGTTCCGTGGCTCAGAAATGAGCTCAAACCAAAGACCCCAGTGGCTGCGTTCGCATGAGCCCACCATGCCCATTTCGGCACACCACTCACACGCTTCGTGGCCCCATAGGGAGCTCCCCCCCAGTGGCTGCGTTCGCACGCGCCCACTGCATGCCCACTTCGGCACACCCAGTACAGCACTCCGTGG